TCAAATTGTTATTTCACGTTCAAAAGTTCTACATTAAAATGCTAACAAAATCTGTTGACAAAGTCCTACAGCTAGTAGCAATTTCTCACTTTCCTGAATATTCCAGAGAGAGTTGGTTTGGTTGGCAAGCTTTGCAAATGCAAACAATTATTTTTATCAACATGAGTTTATTAAGATTTACTTTCTACTAAAAAAAGCATCACATCATGCAATGGAACCAACCAACAAGGACTTCATGAAAGCCAGACAGAAATATACCTTAAACATAATGATTTTCTAGAATTCAATCCCACAAGATGTAATGAGAGCCTTTAGCTTAAAAGATGCTCAAACAGCACTAGACAAAAGTAGTCTTCTATCAACAAATTCTTCCTTGACAAAGAACAGGGGCAACGTACCTATAGATGCAAACACTGGATATAAAACTCAGATAGTAAGAAACCTGCATCAAGTTTAGTTTGACTGAACTAATTTTCATTCTTAGTCATTAGGGATGCCCACTAATTTCAGAATGAATGGGCTTTATCGCTTGTTCTGAAATAAACATGTACCTCTTAAAATTCATTTATATTATACTCTGCCTGAACCAATCAATATACCAACATGGGCAAATGAAGGAGATTGCAAAACTAAAAAATGGCAGTATGTCTGTGCACCGTTCCTCTTCAGCAGTTCCTTTTTCCTGTCTTAAGAGCGGCTAAGGATTGCATCATTCAGATTTTAACAATCTGGTTGTTAAACCACCACAGAAAGATTTGCTTCCACAAAATATGGACAGAAAATCCCTTAACCACCATTAAGGCATAGTAATCCATTTTTATTTGCTCAGCACATAGCCCAATAGCAGCTGGGTTCTCCAAACACAACCAAAATGCAATTTCTTTTAATTTGCATGTTATGTGAAACTACAGTAGCCAATTCTACAATCCATGATTAAAATAAACCACAGGTTAGCACAACATAGACATATGAATAGAGCCACTGCATCTCGCAAACTACAACTGGATTCACTCATCGAGTTAAGCCAAAACAAAGAACATGATAGAGCTAAACTATGTACGGACCTCAGTATCAGAACATAGTTGCTCAGCCATAACTCTGTTTACAGTTCAATCATTAACAGAGTATGAGCAGATGCATTATTTAATTTCACACATTCTAAAAAAAGCTTTGCAAGTAACAAGCAAGCAACATATTATTTTATAAAGAATTGACTGGGATTAAACAAATTTAAA